GAAACAGAAATTTCTTCAAATACAACACAGCTAAGAACCCTCCCCCCAGCTAATAAAAAGCTAATTCTGAACAGAACTCTGATTTTCCCTAAGGATTTTCTGAAATGTACAATCTTGTGTTGCTAAATTGCTATTATTAAAAAAAAAAAAAATCAAAATAAATGTCTTCACAACTAGAGAAGTTATTATTCCTTTCTGTTTGCAAGATAGTACCATAAAAGAGACACTATTTAACCAAATAATTTTCTGCCATTTAAATGGTTTCTTCTGAATTTTTTTCAGTACAAAAATGCTTGTCTGGATGCAACTAACCCCAGGACAGTCCAATTCCTTAGAACACTATCACATACTTATTTTTCTTCAGTTTTAGGAGATATGTTCCATTTCTGGTTTTCACTGAGTAAGAAAGGTTGTCATCTGAATGCTCCTGAAAACAGGACAAAAGATACCACTTAATTAGGTGATTTTTCTACTTGGTTTTTGTTCTGCCCAACTTCTGTGTGTGTGAAGGATGTGCCAAAACACAGATTCCAAACCCTCCCCCTTCTGTATTTCAGAGTCTCAGCAGCACACTGTGCATTCTTTCCTGTGTAAATTTTTTTAAGTTCTATTAATCTATACATTTTCTGTCAGAGGACAGGAGGGCACAGCCCACGTGTGCACCCTTTGCCAAGCACCACGCCAGGTTTTGTGACCCTCCTTATGTAAATCAGATAAGCCACTCGCCCGAATCTTTCGTTCCTTAATCGGTTTGCACAAAGATGACTAATGATGTTTCATTAACTGTAAATGGACTCAGTATCTGGCACAAAGGGAAGTTACCTCAGAACTGGAGAATTAAGGCTCAGATCTTTCTCTTTTAACTCGTTCCTCTAACCTGTGTGACTCTGGGGGATGGTTTTTACCTATCAGGAGCTCATGGCTGAAGTCCTCTGGTTATCCAAAACCAGAGCGCAGAAAGTATGAACATGAGTGCAAGTTCAACATCTGACTCAGAAAATGGAAATATTCTTCATGTTTCTTCTCACTTCTGCCTTACAAGGTTGTTAACAAAACCAGAAGTTTGGATGGTGCTAACTTAGAGCGCAATCCCAGGAATTTGTGGGAAGAAATTTGCTCCAAATTAGTTGAAAACACTAAGAATCTGAAGAAATATAGTCTGGGGCACATTTCTTCACAAAAATCTTTGTATGCTTATACATTGTGTGTGTGTAATGTAGTGTGTTGGGAAAAACAGCAACATCAGAAGAAAAAAAAATCAGGATCACAAACCTCATGAAAAAATAGGTGATGTTTCTGTCTGCCCGTCAGACTCCGAGGAATGATTATTTCTAATGTAGAAAGTCTGGGTGTCTGTTCAGAAGATACACCTGAAGATGAAGTTTGAAACTGGTAAATAATCAGAAGGCATAAGGCATTATGTTGGCACCTGCACAGTGGGGGTTGCCAAAAGACCATTCTAATCCAGCCAGAAATGGAGAAAGAGCGACTTCACCAGTCCCAGGACCTGACTGCCCCTGCTCAGTTTTGGTTGTCTCTTTCAGAGCTCTTGGATCATGCTGGGAAGTTGAAGAAATCAACAGTTTCAATCATGGCCACGTTATTTTTAATTTCGGAGTATAGTTACCTGCATTATAAACTGTGATAATAGCTCAAATTTTAATTTTCCCTTCATATGGACAATACCAAACCATCCTTTTCCCGTTGCCCTGAATGAGGAATACTTGCAGTTGTCCTCTGGATATAATTCTTCCACCTCCTGTGTGTATAATCTTGGCTCCTGCCATTGCCTAACGCTGCATTTTGTTTGTTCTAGCAACAGTCAAACCTTTGCAAAACATTTGTAGCCTTTCACATGGTATCAGAATTATCTGCAGAACAACATGCTAATGCAGGAAGCTAAAGATAAGAAGCCTGCCAAGCATCTGGTTTCAGGTAAATGGTTAAAGACAAAACCAATCTCCTCTAACTTTCTTTAAAACTGTGAGAACTTGAATTCATCTTCTTTTTTGTTGTCTGCACATCTGTCTGGTTTGATCAACAGAGACACGACCATTGCTTTTAAACAGGTAACAGAATCAAGAGTAACATGGGTTTTAACAATGGAAGTGTGTTCTTCTTTAAGTTGTTCTTTCATAAGGAGATAGATTTCTTCACACTTATAGTAATACAAAGTCACCCTCAGCCTCCCACGTTTCTGTGAATGGAATTCACGATTGCAAAGAAGCCACACAACCACTCATTCAAAGTGAGGAGGAGGGTTTTGAAGTGTAATCATGATCTCTACCTGTCAGATAACATCAGGGTTTTTAAAAGCTAGGTGCAGGTAGCGTATGTTTAACATTACAGGCTGTCATTGCAATCAAAATGTGGAAGTTGCTGTTAGGAAACAGGTCTGAAAAGAGCATCAGCACTCGATATTTACTTCTGACTTTGCTCTCACTCTTCAATAATTTTATTATCTAAATCACAAAACCCATTCTCTGTCACGAGTAAAAGTGTACGTTGAACTGACAACGGAGATGCTCTTTTAACAATTTAAATTTTCACACCTGAAAGCAGGAAACCATCATCGGTGCACATCACAAAAATACCACTGTCTAAGAAATATTTCAGGTGTTACATTTAAATCCAAAGAGCGAAGCCAAATGATAAATGGAAACGAGTTAATGAAGAGCTGTAATGAAACTGTAGGAATTCCCCTCACATCACTGAAGAAGAAATCTTTTCCTACAGTCTTTACTATCGATGAGAGTGACAGTAAATGCAGTTGTCACAGTGTCCTACATGGAAGATGATATATTTCCATACCTACCACATCCTGGAGAGAAAAACCCCACAAATTGCTCAGCAATAACAACTTTCAACCTTTTCCAGACACCCTTTTCTTGCACAAGATTTTCTCAACGAGCAGGTGCCGTGACTCGATGTGAAAGGGGAGCATCATTCTGCTCAGGATCAGAGAGCACAAGAAGAAGAAACTTTCTGAAAATTTAAAAAAGCAAGCAAGCTTACCTTTCATCCCAAAGGGTTTCCCAGTAAAAGTTAGTCCAAAAGTGAACCAAAACAGGCAGTGCTTTAACATGACTGGACTTCCCGGAGAAACCACTCCGGTGTCCCGGCAGACTGAGAGTACCTGGCCCTGGCTGCTCCGCACGGAACCAGAAGAGCAAGAACCGTCTGCTCCCAGAGCAAACAACAGAAAAAAGCACCCTGACACTGCATCCCTGCTAAGGGAACGGGAAGTAAAATTTAATCCACTGGGCTTGCGAGGAAACTGGTCAGACGGCTTAATGCAAATAAAAAGCAGCACGTCCTGAAATGCTGATTGGAGAGGGAGCACCGAGCCGTGCCGGGGTCAAACTGGTTTTATTCTAAAGGGCTTTCATTCCACTGTGAGGTCTTATGAGATTAGAAACAGAAAATATCACTAGTAATAAATACAGTGTTTAGGATGTTTACCCTGGCTATTCCAGCTCAGCCAAAAAAAAAAAACACTTCAGTGTGAAACCATCTACTCTTTGAAATTTCAGCTTATCGTTTTCTGTTTCTTCATCTTTGCTTTAAAAATACTGAATGTGCAGCGCACGTGAACACATGGAAATCCTATAAACACATGGAAATCCCACAAACACATGGAAATCTTCAAAACAGGGATTTTACCCAGTCCCTCCTGTGTTAAAGACAATTCTCCTCGCTAAAAGTCCATAATTTTGTGCAGATCATTGCTCTCCCAGGATTAGAATAATCTTCCATGCAACCACATTGTCACCAAAAGCAAAAAAATAAATTCTTCAAAACTCTATGAAGTTGCAACACATTTTGGAACAATCAAGCACATTTAGGAACACAAAAAAAGAGACTTGAGACAACACAGTTTTTCACGCTAAAGCATTTGCATTAATTAATTTTAAATAATTCTTTAATTAAGACAGAGCAAATCCACTCTTCCATCGCTGGTAAATCCCACAAAACAATGGTTTGGATGACAAAACGCTGAGGTGCTGGCTGTATTTTTAATTATAGCTTGTGCAAAGCCTGCTCAGGTCCATCTCCCGACAGTCACACACCCAGTGAACATTCCTGTGCTGAGCCCTGGGTGGAAGCAGAACTCGATACCCATGTTCCTTGGGTCTGTGTCTGTGCCACAGCCTCAGGAGCAGCCTTCCCCGACTCCAGAAGCCAGGATCCTACTGAAAATTAAATGAACCCCATCTTTTATTTATACCCTCTTTTATTCACAGCCTCTCTCCTGTGAGGTGCTCCATCAGCACGCAACTTGGGAGAGAGAATCCACTAGTTCTGAATGTTGTCATATTACCAAATTTCACAGAATCACAGAGTCAATTTGGTTTGACAAGACCTCTGAGATCCTTGACTCCAACCTATGACCCAACATCACCTTGTCAACCAGACCATGGTACCCCATCCACGGACCTTGGGCAGAGGGACCAAAAGGAGTTTGTAGCCAGGTGGCTGTCACAGAGTCACAGAACATGCTGAGTAGGAAGGGACCCACAAGAACCATCCAGTCCAACTCCTGGC